AATTGCAATTTCCCCTGGGTTGATTTACTGTTGATTAGACTGCGGAAGATCCGACAGTAGCTTGGAATCTCTTAAGCTGACCAAGCCCTCTCAGTCAAACTATCCGGCAGACGACTAGTCTTCACCGGGATAGAAAGCTGAAGCAGTAAGAACAGAACTCCAATACTGGAATTAGATTCCAGTACAAAGCAGTAAACTGGCTAACTCTCGTATAGCCAATCTCCTACTATCGAATGATGAGACTCTAGCAACCTAATCAGATTCTATCTATCTCAGATTGCAGCAGGAATCAGGAAAAGTTTATCAGACTTCAATTGACTCAATAAACATGCATCATTCGATTAAAATCAAACAGTAATATCATCCCAAGTCATTACAATCAATCCCCTAACACATAGAACTGGGGTTCTTCATCCCCAAGTGAGAGAGAGGTTCTACTCCATAGAGAGAGAGAAGAAAACAGTAATCGGAGTAGTCATACTCATAATGATAAGGAAAATCTGCTCCGGGATGATGATTTCCACTCCTAGGACGATCTCCAAGCTTGATTTGATGAAACCCAACTCCAAGATGGCTTCTAGGGTGAGTTCTTCGCACTTTCTCTCTCTAGGGCTCTGTTTTTGCTCAAGAAATTCGATCTCCCTTTCCTTGGCTCGATTCTGGCTTCAAAAACCTGACTCTGGGCGAATTACGGGCTGAATTACGGCCGTAATCACGTCCTGCCCGTAATTCGCCCCAAAACGCACGTTTCAATTAAGCTGAAGGAGGAGGAGATACGCCCGTAATTTCCCAATTACCTCCAGTAATTTGGGAATTACGGTCGTAATTCTTGGGGGTCTTGCCCGTAATTTTAGCACCGAGAGGAAATTCTGGGGAAAAGGCTCGGCAATTGTTTTACGGGCATGCCCTGACCAATTACGGTCGTAATTTGGCAGGGGCTGCCCGTAATTCCTTCTGTGATTCGCCATCTGACCTCCAAATGACCTGAAACTTGCGCCTATGCACCTCTTTACTTGCTAGGACCTGAAATACGACAAAACAACACAACCTAGCGTAAAATAGGCCAAGGAACAATCAATTCAAGCCAAAATGGACAGGAAACCCGAGTGAAAACACGTGCAAATACGATGCTATCAGATGGATTGTTTGTTTGATTCTTCTTTCTATTTTCAATTAGTTTTCCGGCTTGGAGATTTTTCAGAGAAAGAGAGTGCAAATTGGTAGGGAAGAAGAATAATGAGATTTTTAATTATTTTGTTTTAAAATTTTGGCTTAATAATATAATTGAATTTACAGTTTTTTATTTTTATTTAATTTGAATTAAAAAAATTGAGGTCGGTGACGTGACATCTATGTGGCAGTCACATTTTTTGCCACGTCAACAAAAGTCAACTTTGCGTTGACCACCGTTTGGTCAACCGTTATCTTTAACTGTTAACGAAATTGACAGCATACAAATGACATTAAGTATCATACTTAAGGACATGAATGGAATATTTGAAACAATAGGATACAAGTGACAATTTTTTGATAGTTCGGGTGTTGTAGTGGTATTAGCCCTACTAATTATAGTAAAATTACAAAATTATCCTCATTTATTAATTAATTTACTTCTACATATATTATTTGGCTTCAACTCAGTAGTATGCGGAACGTCGGCAAGAATTTGATTGCAACGTCAGTAGCAGATGTTGGTCATTTGATATTTATGTTTCTATTGTATTAGTACGTTGAGAAGACAAAATTAGAGTGTAAGGTTCATCGACGAAATATTTAAAAAGAACTAATGAATAGAGTAGAAATACATAACAACACTTTCGATATTCTACTTATGGGACCAAAATCATTTTTAGAAGATGGATTATAATAAATATTGTTTATGCATGAAATTAATAAAGACGTAGTTGAAAATTTTTAGCTTAATTCAATTTTAAACGTATGCCAAACATGATTTCATAATTGAATTCATTTGATTTCTAAATATTTTAACATGATATACCTAATACAAACTCAAACTATTAGTGAAGAGCTACTGACGCGGGGAATGAGAAATATTGTCTAGATATTTTGTGGAAGAAAATGAAATAAAACAGCACACAGTATGTTGTTGTTTATTGTAGATGAAAATATAGAGATTTGGCTCACAAGTTACTATTTTCTGTTCCCGCAGCTTATGCAGATTGGGCTCAAGTTCCATACGGGAATGGATCATGTCAGTAACCTTATGGTGAGTAATCATGAGTAATCCGTCCACATCAGCATGACATCAGCATCCTCTCTTTTCTGGAGAGGCTTTAATTTTCCCCTCTTTAATCTTTGACGGACGATTTATCACTCATTTTAAGTCGAAATTTAAATTTTTTTGCACAGTTAGATCAGATTAATTGTGCTCTTAAAAATGATATCCACTTTAATATATTTTTCGAACAAAAAATATTGAGCCATTTTTTACTAGTCTATACCATATTGTATTGACTACTATTGAAATAAAAGTATACCTATGGTTTGAAAAACGTACCATGGTGGTATGAACAAACCAAGACTGTAGAATGGTTGAATACATGATAGTAGAAGTATATTAACTGTCATTTACGACTTTTATCATTGTGTACCACAAGATACCACCCCGTACCAGGGTGGTATTGTATGGTATTGTGTGGTATTTTTTGGTCCTTTAATTTGTTCACCCAGAAATTTATAGATCCAATAGATCATATGATGAACTCGTCCCTTCTGTGCAAACGTTTTAAAAAACAAATTAAAAACGAAGAAGATACCATACAATACCACCCCAGGGTGGTATTGTATGGTATTGTGTGGTATTTTTTTGTCCTGTAATTTGTTCACCCAGAAATTTGTAGATCCAATAGATCATGATGAACTCGTCCCTTCTGTGCAAACGTTTTCAAAAACGAATTAAAAACGAAGAAGATACCATACAATACCACCCCGTACCAGGGTGGTATTGTATGGTATTGTGTGTTATTTTTTGGTCCTGTAATTTGTTCACCCAGAAATTTGTAGATCCAATAGATCATGATGAACTCGTCCTTTCTGTGCAAACGTTTTCAAAAACGAATTAAAAACGAAGAAGATACCACCAGGGTGGTATTGTATGGTATTGTGTGGTATTTTTTGGTCCTGTAATTTGTTCACCCAGAAATTTGCAGATCCAATAGATCATGATGAACTCGTCCCTTCTGTGCAAAATTTTTCAAAAACGAATTAAAAATGAAGAAGATACCATATGGTATGCAGTTGGTACAGAGAGGGCATAATTTTTTTTCTCAAAAAATATTGAAAAATTATTAAACTAGAGTGAATATTTAATAAATATTTTTTTCGCACCTTAAATGTCATTCCTCGTAAACATAAGCAAATTGAAAAATTATTAAACTAGAGTGAATTGTTATTAATAATAAGATGCTCATAATAACTCATAACAACCTTAAATATCTCAAGCCACACAAAGGTCCTTGATCATGAATTTAAGATTACATTAGGCCATCAATATCAACATTTGTATCCAATTCTCATTAGTCACCATTGTCATCACTTGGCCATCAATATCAACACTTGGCCGAAAATTGATTTTTAAAGAAAATTTATTTTGTGTTACGAAAATATTTTTAACGCACATGAAATTGTGTATTACGATAATATAAAATTCAATCTTTATACAGTTTAGTAACTCAGTAGAATAAGAAATGTATCATGTGAACTATGGTAGTACATAGTTATTCCTTGTATGGTTGTATATAATTAAATGATATTGATATAGTTAAGTAACAATTGAATAAAAGCGTGAATACTCGTGTGTATTAGTTGTCTTGTGATTTATTTGCTATTTATTTTTTTATAAATATATAATGCGGTATAAGATTTGATAAAAAATAATTTTGGATCAAAATATTTGAAATTTATTTTTTTATTAATTTTTAAAACGATGGATAAGCTTTTGATTTTTTGGTTGACCGCCAATATTAGCACTCAATCTTTTTGTTGTATTGCTTTATTGCCTTATGGATGTTATGTCACACATTTCCCTGCATTGTTAGCAAAAATTTATCTAATACTCTTACTCTCAGTCTCAGTTTCATAGTATTCTATAGCCGTCTTTTTTTTATCAAATTATTTATCACGCTATGTGCTAAATATGTATGAAATATAGGATACACATACTTTAAGGAATTGAATTGATAATTTAATGATTTTATATACTTTCATTTTGAGTTTTATATTCCAAATATTTTGTAACTGATGCCAAACTTTTAATCATATTGTTAAGTTAAAGTGACATAAAACCTTCGTACAAATCAATAGCGTAATGCATAGTATATTTTTAATAATTATGTTTTCACATCACCCAATAGAATTTTCTATAAAAAATGATGATGAACTTTTTAAGTGAGTAAAATTATATGTATCTAAATAAAAAAGGACCAATGATAGTAATAATAAAACTCCATTCTTTCTTCTATTAAGTGATGGTAAGACAATATATAGTTTCGGCCCTTATCAATGTGCAATAGTAAAGAACTAATTTTAACTTATTCAAATTATATATGAAATAAAGCATATAAATGTGTCTATAGTACAATCCAAATGAAGAACTCATTTTAATGATAACATTATTATACGTAAAGCTAAGATTCTTAGTGGCAACTATATACACGCCTACAACAGACAAAAAGATGCATCTATTACTTCAATAGCACAGCCTAATGAAAAAAACTTTAACTATGATGTCATTATTATTATATTCTGTAAAGCAGTGAACAGTAAAGCGGATTCAGGTTTATATAATAAAAAATTGTTTTATTGTGTCCTTTATCGTTGGCTCAACTAACAACATGTTGATTAGAACAACCTACATCGTCCTCTATAGAAAGTACTAATTTCAATTCCAACCACATAATCACTTTAGTTTTTTTTTTTTTTTTTTACTTCAACAACCCGCTAAATCAACTCATCGGTGCATCATATTTAATATTAAAAAAATGAGAGGTGCTCTCTCCTCTCTCCTTCGAGTGTGCAGGTTCATCGGTAGCCTCCTTGTGGCGGCGGCTATCAGGTTGCTAGAGTCAAGTCTAGCAAATCAAAATACGATGGCTGGCCGAGGGGAACAGCAAGGCCCCGTCCGCGAAGGTAAGGAGAAAGACAGAATTCTATTTCGGAGAAGCAGTCCAAAAGGGCGTTGTGATATAGATACTCAAAGGAAGGGGCGCATAGATCAGAAGTCTGGAAGCCTCGTTGTTCGTAATGAGCATGGTTTAAGATCTGAATGTCGGATCAAAAAACGATTTCGAGATGAGTTACCGTTGCTGAACCTCCATCCCCGGCCGCGCAAGCGTCCCTGCCTGCTGAAAAAGGCGGCGTGGCGATTCATTTTGTCGTCGCCAGAGGACGTGGAGGATGGAGTTAAGACGGCTACAAACCAATCGTCAGTCTTAGTCAGTCAGACTGAGACGCTAGCGACTGATAGCTATGTTCCTGGGGCCCAAGCCGGCAACTCAGTTGTGGGTACGGGATTGGTGGAGGATGACTCCCCAGACGCGCCGCCGGCAACGGGTGATCTGCTCTTGCCAGATAATCCAAAAAACTCGCAGCGGAATGGGCGGGCCATTAAAATCCAGGTCGACAAGATGTCGATATCCTATGGGGACAGATCAGGGGTATCTGGGATTTGGGATAACGGTTTTTCTGTTTTGAAAAACGGGGAAAATATGAAACTTAATTCAACCCAACGTCTACGCTACAATAACCGTATCACGACTCTTTTCCCTGGGTGGCCACTCGTAGTACCCTATTTAAAGGCTCGACCCCGACGTGCTTCTCACAATACTCACAATAATAACAAGCGGTCGTGGGCTTTGGCGGCGATCATTGCACTGGGTGGAGCTTGACAAACGGTACTTTAAGAAAGGCTAGGGTTGTACCATTTGCATGGATCCCTCGCCTGGATTTTTCTTTGGCTACTATAGGAGGGACTATGCCCTCACCCCTTTCTCAATTCCGGAAGACGCTGGAACCTACTCTCGTTTGAGATTTCTCGGTCAAGGGAAACAGGTTGCTAATCCAATGAAACTTCAAAGGATTGGGTCCTATCACGTCCACCTTGGGTCATTAAGGACAAAATACTTCACATGAGAGCATGGACTCCGAACATAACTAAAAAGATTTTTGAGAAATTGGCGGTAGTCCCGCTTCGCATCCAACTATGAGATGTGACTGATGATTATTGCACTCCTCAATTTGGTCGGAAGATGGTTTCTGCGACAATGGGTACTGTGCTCGAGGCTGGTGTCTTTGCTTGTCAGAAAACGGACCAGTACTTCGTCAAGGTGCGCGCCATGCTCGATCTCACTAAGCCGTTACGCTCTCAACTTATGGTGGCAAATGACGAGACAGGTTGTTTCTGGGTGGCACTCATGTATGAATACCTCCCAAACTTCTGCTTTTATTGTGGGAGAGTTGGTCATTTACAGCGGGAATGTACTTTTGAGACGCTGACTAGTAAAGAAAAGATTGGCATGCACATGACCACAAAAAAACATGGGGATATGCCACGGAGGATGAGCACCAAACCTCTAGAGGGAACCCGCCTTCCATCTGGGTCAATAAAGACCTGCGAGTGTCGAAAAGGGAGGGAGGTTTACCACCTCACCGCGGGAGCAGCTGCAAGGTCTTCAATTGAGGCCACAACACAAGGTGTTTAATCATCGCCCATTGGTGATTGGGAAAGCAAAGGCCCAGCGCACAAATGAAGGCAGCCCATCTATGCGGAGGGGAAGTCCGCGAGGTTTCCTTGTGTCCAAGGTGGTCCGCACGCCACGAGATGCTCGCCAAGCGGGAGTTAAGAGGGATACCAGGGATACCCTCAAGGGTCCATTGCCAAGACGTACTAACGCAGGCACAGATGGACTGGGTGGAGGGCAAACTAGTCAAGCGGTGGCGACCGTGCTTGACCATGCAAGGGCATAGCGCCCACGAATGGCACAAAAGATGAACACGGTCCTGGCACCGACTCCTTTGCACTGAGTTCTTCCCCGGAGATGCAGACTTTTGTTGCCAGCATCGGACGAAGACTGTGAGCTGGAGGCAAAGAAAACAAACAAGGAGCTGCAAGAGAAGGCTGGGAAGCATAATTCTAGGACTTCGGGAAAGGGACGGCTGGTTCCTAGCCCCATTTTGAAGAGGACGGGAGAAGCAGAAGATGGAGGGCATTCTTCGGCCAACCCCAGTTACGACGGCTACGCAAGAAGGGAGACACCAAAAAGGAGTTTGAGGGGGAATTGCTGCATACCACTCGACGCACTAATAAATGTAAAGGAAAAGGCAAGATTCCTGTGGAGGAGTCGGAGTCCAAAGAATGGGAGTTGATCTTTGAGGCAGAGACTGAGATCATCTCTCAGCAGATTGGAGTGTCGAGCCTCCTGGAGGAGCATGCTGGAACGGATTCTGATGAATCCCTCTCTGAGGAGGGGGAGAATTGGTTCATCATCGAGAGTAGAGTGTCGCCCAAACCACTCTCGGAGACCCGCGTTGTGCGGTTGTGCGGTTCAAGCGTTTGAGGAAGGAACATCGGTGCCCGCTGAGAAGATTGCTTATCCGGCCCTGCCTGCTGATCTTGGGGCACCCTTCTCTCTGAATGAGTATGGCTCCAATGTGGCGGTCATGGGGCCTAATACTCTGAAGCGTGCGCGGTTGTAAGAGGGCGAGGAGCTCGAAGGTGGCTCTGCCCCGAAAAGGCAATTTGTTGAAGAAAATGACATGGGGCAAGGAAAGGTGGAGGAAGCCAACCTCAAATGGCCCCAAGATATGGAATGAAAGTACTGGCATGGAATGTGAGAGGACTTGGACCTTCCCTCACATTCCAAACTGCAGTAGGGTTAGTTCGTTCGAATAAACCTGATCTTGTTTTCTTTTGTTAAACGAGATCTTGCCGGAGAGTAGTTTCCCGTCGTATGAGGGGGTTAGGTTTTCACCTTTCTTGTTGTTTTTTTTTTGTTCATGCAGTCGATGCATCTGGTGGGCTAGTTGTAGCTTGGTCCCCTGAAGTTGATGCTTCAGTGTTTTCCCATTCGAATTTTTTCGTTTGTATGCGGATTAATGAAAGTCAATTTTCTTATGTGGTGGTTTGTGTATACATGAGCTGTAACGAAACCATTCGTGCTCGCCAGCTTAATGATCTTTGAGATGTTTGTGAAACGATCTGGTTACCCTTCATGGTGATTAGAGACTTCAATTCCACTTTTCACGTTGGTGAGAAAGAAGGTGGTAACCCGTGGCATGTGGGTCAATCGTTTTCTTGAAACGAGTTCATTCAATCTCTGGGCTTCCATGATCTTGGGTACCAAGGGGATCAATTCACTTGGACCAACAAAAGGATGGGGATGGCCTGTATTCGCGAACGGTTAGATCGGGCGCTTTGATCCCAAATTTGGATTGATAAGTACCTAGACACTCTTATCAAACACATCATTGATTAAGGGTCGGATCACCATAATAGTCGACCTCTCTTACGATTCGACGCTCGGTGGGCGGATAACCCAGAAGTCAGGGCTATGGTGAATTATGTTTGGGAAGAGGAAGTGCATGGCTCCTCCATGTATAAGCTATGATTGAGATTGAAGAAACTCCATCATTTATTGTATGATCGGAGCCGAGCTGGGACTACCAATTCCCTACGAAACATTAATACTCTGCAGGGAGAGATTGATCGTGTCAAACAGATCCTCCCGATTAATTGGGATATGGTGAGAATCCTGGAGGAGGAGCTGAGCCGCCAATGGGTTGCGGAAGAAAGCTACTGGCAGCAAAAATCCAGGGTTCACTGGTTGAAAAAGGGCGATAGAAACACTTCCTACTTCCATACCATCCCGAGAGCCAGAAGAAAACAAAATTTTGTGGTCGGGCTCAGGAATGATGAGGGGAACTGGGTTACTAAGGAGAAGAGTAAGGCTAATCTTGCCACTGATTTTTATCAAAAGCTTTTCACTTCCGAAAACCAGATTCTGAATATGGAAGCTAGGGTGGATGCTCTTCCTCTCCCGCAAAAGTCACGGATGCCATGAATGCTAGCCTCACTACTAGGGTTCTCCCAGATGAGGTTCGACGTACGGTCTTCTCTATGGGATTGAAAAAAACGCCTGGCTCTGATGGCTTCACAGGGAAATTTTTCAAATCCTTTTGGGACATTGTGGGAGTTGTCTGCTCAATTTTTTAAACGAGTCGGATCTTACGAAGCTTCAACCATACTTGGCTAACCTTGATACCAAAAGTAGATAATGTGGAAACTATTCGCCAGCTGCGACCCATTAGCCTTTGCCAGTTTGTGTATAAGGTTATCACTAAAATCATGACTGAGCGACTGGACTTAGTTCTTCCACAAGTCATCTCTAATGGACAAAATGCGTTTATTCGAGAACGAAAAATTGTAGAGAATGTTCTGTTGGGGCATGAGCTTATGCATTACCTGAAAATTAAGAATCGGGATAAGAAAGGGTACATGACTCTTAAGGTTGACAGGAAAAAGCCTATGATAGAGTCGAATGGACCTTCCTATTTGCGGTAATGGCCAAGTTAGGATTTAATCAGACGCGGATTGGCTGGATAAAGGAATGTATTGTTTCTTCCTCTTTCTTGATTATGATGAATGGCACGCCCAACGGTTATTTCAAACCCTCTAGGGGTCTGCGCCAGGGGGACCCCCTTCCCCCTCCTTTTTTTTATATGCATTGAAGGGTTTGGTTCTCTCCTCCATTGTGCTATTGAGGCTAAGAAACTTGAGGGGATAAAGGTGGCACCCCGAGCGCCAAGGATCTCGCATTTGTTCTTTGCGGATGACTCGCATTTGTTCCTACGAGGCGCACTGCAACAGTGCGAGAATCTAATTGAAGTGCTAAATGAATATGATGAACTAAGTGGACAACGCGTTAACTTGGCAAAGTCAGCGGTTTGTTTTAGTAAGAATATTTCCATCCCGGATCAAGAGTGCCTGGCATAGGTTTTGGGTGTAGGGGCGGTGGGTGTTCAGGATGAATACCTGGGGTTGCCCACCCTCATCGCCTAGTCTAAGGTAGCGACTTTTCGATTCGTGGAGGAGAGGTTGATGGCTCGTCTCCAGGGATGGGCACGACGGACGCTTCTCCGGCGGCTAAGGAAATCTTGATTAAATCGGTTGCCTCTGCTTTGTCGTTGTATGTCATGTCTTGCTTTAAACTTCCTCTCACGTTTTTTCGTATCTTGGATAGGCTTGTGGATCGTTTTTGCTGGGGAGTGGAGGATGGCCGTTCTCGCATCCGGTGGATGTCATGGAATAAAATGTGTCGTAGTAAGCATGAGGGTGGCATGGGCTTCCGTAGATTTGAACATTTTAATCAGGTTTAATTAGCTAAGATTGGATGGCGACTACTGGAAGATCCTACGTCCCTTCTTTCTTACAAAGAGAAATATTTCCCTCGTGGGACGTTCCTCACTGCTAGGACACGATCTCGCCCATCCCGGGGTGGCAAAGTATTCTCTATGGTCGTCAACTCTTGATTCAAGGCCTTCGCTGGCATATTGGGAATGGGAGGAATGTGCCCGCTTTAGAGGCGAATTGGATCCCGACGATGCATCCTGATCCTCCGCTTGCTAACCCAATGGTCCTGCCGGAAAAGGGGGGGGGATCTGATGGTGGCAGATTTATTGTGCCCAGGCGAGGGGCGGTGGTCAGAGGAGAAGCTTGGTCAATGGTTCCCCCTGGCAACGGTAACTTCCATTAAAGCAATCCCTCTTCCCCTCGAGGATATCGAGGATAAACAAGTCTGGCATGCCTCTTGTGATGGGGTTTTTACAGTTCGATCTGCTTACCAGTTGGCAGTGTTGATGGATAAGCAGCAGGGCCGTTGGAATCCTACAG